CACACACACACAAGTGCACGCGCGTAGTCTACAGCGGGAGATTCATTCGATTTTGCTCATCCTATCGTAGCGTGAGGCCAACCGAGGGGTTGGAGACTTACCTGTTGGTCGGTCCGTTGCTCATCCTATCAATCGAAAACACAGCGGGGTTGGAGACTTACCTGTTGGCCGGTCCGTTGCTCATCCCACCAGTGGAAAACTCTCTCTCTCTCTCTCTCTCTCTCTCTCTCTCTCTCTCTCTCTCTCTCTCTCTCTCTCTCTCTCTCTCTCTCAGACACACACACACACACACAACAGATGATGGATCCGTGTGTGTGTGTGTGTGTGTGTGTGTGAGAGAGAGAGAGAGAGAGGCTACTTCCACCAATAGGATGAGCAAAATCGGAATGAATTACACACGCACACACTCATACACACGCACACACACGTGCGTGTAGTAGTGTATATATTTCGATGTTCTAGTCGTAGATTCATTCGATTTTGCTCATCTTATCAATGAAAGTACCCTGTCTCTCTCAGAACTTTGTGTCACTTCAAGAGTGTTGGTTCCGAAAAACCCAAAGTACTGACAATACTCGGCACGTTTCACAGAATGGTGGCGAACACCTATGAAGTCTCAGATTTAATCACGGTATTGAGGATGTTTTGTAAGGAACTCAGACTGATGGACTACCCTTGGAGGATAACCCGCACGGTTATCGTGGTGTTCATCAGAAACTTCATAGACACGAAAGTCTGAAAGGTTTTCCATCAGTGTCTTGAAGCAGAAGAAACGACCAGAGTCGAATGATATAAATCCAACGCAAAAAAAAAAAAAAAAAAAAAAAAAAAAAAAAACGCGAAGAATCGAAAAAATATGCAGATATAATGATGCAAGAAGTACCGTGTTGATTCCCGAGCATATGAGTTGAATCAAAATCCGGGAAATACATACGTTTCCAAGTGCAAAGAACAAACGACAAAGAAATGAAAAATACTCAACTGAAAAATAACGATGAAACCCACTACCGCATGAAAATAAAAAAAACAAACAAAATCAGACAAAAGTCAGTAATCCAAAAGGATATAAATACAGAAGATCGAGACGAAATTACGGCCAAAAGGAAAGCCGCCAAATGCATGAGTACGGATTTCTAGAAACAAACAGAAGCACTGGAGCGTACAAAGGTGTAGGAGGTTATATACACCGACAAAGGGAAAATCGACGACTACGAAAAATCAACAACGGGAAGGGTCGAGCGCGACCACGTAAAACTCGGACGCAACGATGATGAGGACACTGCAGGGAACGAGGACAAGAAGATGGGAAGGAGGATAGGGTATAAATTTAGCGATAGTGGTTGAAATGATTACCTAAGCAGTGAGGTAGAAGGGCAATCGCGACAGTTGTCGCACGCCATGGACAGACGTGTATGCTGCGAAAGTAAAACCTCGCACGTGTTGTCTATCATTGCATGTGTGTATCTCAAGGCACGGTGCTTCGAACTTGTTGGCGGTACCCGCGAAGATCGGCACCGTTTAGACTGTGTTTATACATTCTTATCTTATTTTTCGTTCATTTTTCTTGTCATTCAATCCTCTCTTCTCTCTCCTCGCATCTTTCATCCTCCATATCTTAGTCCTTAGGGTATTTTTACCCTGTTTTGGTAGTGGCGGTTGATTGCACCTTTGGAGATTACGCTGGTGTGGAGATTTGTTTTAGCGATCTTGAAGATTTTTATATTCAGTTTGCGGCTTGGAGATTGTCGGATTTATTCCTCGACTAACCTATCGATGTTAATCTACATTGTGAGTTGACCCGAAGATCCGGACACTTCAGGGAAGACGGCGCGTTCGCTCTCATCGTCGGACAAAAGGAGGCGCAAACACTCATCATCGTCCTCGGGATCGCATGGCAATAAGCGCTTATGTCAGGGGAGATCCAGATCTCCTAGAGATCGAAGACATAGATCAAGATCTCCATCAGCTAGAAGGAGAAGGGCAGAATCAGATTCACCGAAGAGATTTGCCCGACCACATTGGGAGCAACGACACAACGCTTTCCCTCCACCGGGAAATCGAGCATGGTTTACAGCGAACCTGAAGGAGGAGATTTTCAAACTACGACGGGAGATGGACAGAGTATTGAAGATTACAGAGAAACTCACCATGAAGCCGACAGATAAGAAAGCAGTGACAACCGAGAAGAGCGATGGTGGCACGAAGAGGTCAGAAGGAACATCTAAAGAACCGAAGTCGAAGAATCCAATCACCGCATCAGAACTCAAGTCCATCGTGGACATAGCACTAAGGATTGACTCGCCAAGTAAGAAGGAGGCGGAGAAAGCGCAAGGTATGAACATGCAAGCTAGCACTAGCGGCGCAGGACAAAAGGCAATTGAAGATGAAGGCAAAGTGGAGAAAATGGTGTCGGAAGTACGGAGGGACGCGAACGACCTCAAGCTCCTCAAGTACGATCTTGCAGCAGTTAAGGGAGCACTGCAGAAGATTAATGAGCCAACAAGGACCTGCACACCGATTATTTCATCATCCGTGCATCCATATCAATATCCTAGTACAATTTCTGGACTGCCGGCCTCAGTACACATCAACCGCGGCGCCCCAAGCTGCAGTTGACCAAGCCATAGCATTCCAAGTCGGAGCACGCTGGGCCAACCAATTCCGCCACATCCCAAGAGGGGAAGAACGAAGTTGAGACGACGGACAGTCGCGATCAAGATGAAGGCGAAGCGCATCATCAATTTCGGCCACGAATCGTTAACAGATACGCAACTCCTTCGCCTACATCATCTCAATCTGAAGGATTTGTGTAAGATACACAATAGCAGACATAAAGACAAACCACAAGCGATATCTGATCTGCGCAGAGTACCAAGACTGATTCAAGACAACAGACGTGATTTAATCGTGACTCAGACCTCGAGACGCAGATCATTCCTGACCCTGACAATATTTGGATCGACAACAACCTCAGGAACAAGGCATCCAAGTATGAAGAAACAGATGAGCAGGAGGACAGCTCCGAATCAAGTGATGATGATGAAGATGAAGATGATGACTCATCGGATACGTCTTCAAGCAAGGAAGACCTATCGGGAAGGTGAACGAGCCACCGCCGATGGATGTACTTTCCAAGGCACATAAATGGGAACAGATACACAAGCTAGCAACAACGATAGAACGACTAGCAAGTATCGGTAAGATAAGTGAATATCACTCTCATAACAGACGCTACAGACTCTTGTTCATTTCACTTGCACTAGATGGAGACATCCAATGGGCAGACCCTCTAGTCTATCTATGGACTGCTCAATATCAGACAGTGGATTCCTTACTAACTGCTAACTATAGTGTATATGTTCTTATTTCGCCATGGAGTAGACACATGTACATTGGGAAGACAGGTAGGAGACCGAAAAAACGGTGGTGTGAACACGTTAACTTAGCCAGGAATCCAAATAGGGGGATACAGCGAAAATTATACAGTTGGCTACGGATGTTTGGCTAGGAAAAGTACGTGCTGATACCCGTATGGACAGGAGTAAAAGCAGAGGTGACAACGATGGAAAATGCGCAAATTAAGAAACTCAACCCATTCTTGAACACAAGGGGCGAAGGTATGAAAACTCGGAAGACAAGACAAAGAAGGAGAGGAAAGAAACACAGGAAACGAATTGTAAATCAGAATATACCGATACTTTTCATAACTGTGCGATCTGGATACACCACAAAGCTTACTAAATTATTACAGCCTAAAGCAATAATTGAATGCACAGTAGGAAGATTATAGAACGAAAAATTAAAAGTAATTAAACGAACATTTGGATCCACAATATTGAAATTGACAACACCAAATTCCAACTGAAAGAATGCAGGAAGAAAATAAAACAAGGATGTAAGTTTTGTGTAATCCAGCTAATATACACATGACCCACAAAGAATAAACACAGGAATATTCTGATTAACTGTCTTCGGGCACCATGGAGAAGGAAGGATTTGTATAAACTAACGGTGGACGATATGCTCATTTTCTTATCAAAAGTCGGATCAATATTATGAAAGAAACAACGAGGTACGATTAAAAAGATATTCAAACGAATTTCAAAAAAAAAAATTGCATTCAATATAAAAAAAGGCTCATATTTAGAATTTTATTTGCAACAAATATCAATTTCAAAAAAGTCAAAAATGCCACATCGAATGCAATTTTGAACAATGTGGAAAACATAAATCTGACTAAAGATTTGACGACTCGTATGAGAGTGATGTTTCAAAAATCCCGGATGGTTGGCGAGATAATGCACAATCACAAGCAGGTGATGAAAGAACTGCCTGACTGTAAATGCGCTACATCCTGGCTACCAAAGATGGATGGTCATGTTGCTTGCAGATTGAGCGAAATTACAGACAACCATTTAATGTGGAATGCAAAGAACGTGCCCCATGTGAACATGAGAGTAGGAAAAGAAGAAGTACGAAAAACAATCATATTCACCATCGCAAGTATACCAAGAGGCATGCGAAGACAAGAGAGATAAAAAATGATGTTTCCAGATGAATAAACGAGATAAATAACAAAAACGAAGGAAAATGTATGGATATCTCCGAAGTTTGGGAAGAGAAAAAAAAATTGGGACAGTTGATCCCATCACCCCTAGATAAGAATCCGGGCGAAACATTCATTGAATGTCCAAAAATCAGGTGTGATAAGACAAATCAATTTTTCCTTAAATCAGAATACCATGAGATCATTCAACAAACTGAATCGGGAATTTTTCAACTGGCAAAGAATACTTACCGAGGATGTGGACTTGGAAAAGTTGCCGAATGGGATGAGAAAGGGACTTACCGTAACGCATACACAATTCCCAAAGACGAAGGCCAATTGTACCAACATATAACGAACCATCACGGAAAGCATCAAAGATTCTGTCAAGAGCAATTAATTTTATGTGCAGTACCTGGAAAATTGGTTTTTCATTGCAAGGAACAAATCAACTAGTTCCGAAATTGAGAGAATGTAACAAGGCAGCGAAAGAAATGTACGGACAAAACGCGACATTGATATGCGCCACGTATGACATTAAGGACATGTTTTCTAACCTAGACCATACACATGTTCTTAACGCCATGCAATGGATGTTAAACACCGCAAACGAAAAACGAATTTCCTTCGTTTCGTCGGCGAGAGGTCCCGTCCCCAACCAATCCATCCTTGCCGCCACGTCAGGGTCCGCTAACCCGGCATTGTAGTTGAAGCTGATTCCGCAAGCCGCCCACTCCGGGATGTAGTTGGGAAATGTACCCAATGTTATGGGCGGCTTCCCAAGGCGATACAATACAGCATTCGTAAAGTCGACAATATGCCTGCGCTGGTTGAATGCCTGCGACCCTGTCGCCAACAGTGTTGGCTTCGTGACGAGCTGAGAGTAGTACGACGCCTTGTAGTGAGAACGGGCGTCGTTGCCACCCATGCGCATGATCCACATGTTGGCGGTGAGAAGAAGGCGGAAGGCGTCCCCGATTCTATTCAACCTGGACTGGGACATATTCCCGTTCTCGGACCACTAGCCGTCGCGGAGCACATCTTGGAAGCAGAACGCCAAATGCAAGACCGTGGACTCCTGAAGGGAAGCCGTGTCATCGTCCTCCGGCCTGTTGTGGATGTACGCTCTGACATACCAACAACGGAATGTCCATCTTGAGGGCGAGCGTGTGATAAACAACGCTGGGAGAAACCACCCTCGACCAGTCCAGGCACTCTCACACTGCTTTCGATAGATCCGTCGGGTAGTCCATTGACACATACGACTTCGCGCGGGCGAAACCATCGGCTTTGGAAGGGGACCTGAAGATCCACCTGTGAATCATGTGCATGGCCACGTTCTCCGTCCTTCTCGCGCTACAAAGAGTTGGATCGCGCTACGCTGGATCTTCGATTCGAAAGCGAGGGACGTCGTTCGTTGGCATGATTAGGCCTGCGGGAGCGCCGTCGCTAGCGTCACCATTCACGATCGCGCAGTACTAGTCTGCGCAAGAGTGCACATCGTCGGCAATTAGGCGATCAGGTCCTGCCCCCCTAAATGTCTTTCCGTCCGTCCACAACTTCGACTTTGCATCAAGTCGTTCTCCTGCCGCGATCTTTTCTTCCTCTTAAAGAGAGGCTCGTCGGCGGCGGCGGCGGCCACTCGAGTACGGTCCGTCGTCTGCTTTTTCCTTCCCGCCTCCTCGCGCGTCCCCTCTTCTCGCCTTCCCCCCCCCAGTGCTGGCGGCGCCGTGGACAGCCATGCTTGCCACGTTTGGTACCTAAAGCACCCTGCCCGATGACCCGACTATGGTATTCGACGGATCAACGCGGCGACTTTGCACGGCCTGGACAGGTGTTTTTTCGCCGCGTCCAGCTGTGGCCACCACTGTCGCCGCTGGAATGACAGGTCTTTGAGCTCTCGATTCGGCGATGGCAGTCCCTTGCGAGCGCAAGCTTCCACTACCACCGACATGCGTCGTTCCTTGCGCGCCAACCCCGACCAGTGTGAGGAACTGCTCCCTTGGTACACCGTCTTTCTCGAACCCCGGTGTCAGTGTCTCCATGGAATGCCCCTCCATGGGCGATCCTTGCTCCCCCCCCCTCAACCCCCATCACACCCTCCGTCCCCTCCACACACAACTTTTTCGACTTTGGGACATGTCCCCTTCCCACCTGGCCGCCTCTGCCTTCACCGGGGCTGTCTTGTTTATTCTGGTGCGATTGTCCACGCGGCGACATGTTTTCCAGTCGACAAATGTCGCCTTTCTCTCTCTCTCTCTCTCTCTCTCTCTCTCTCTCTCTCTCTCTCTCTCTCTCTCTCTCTCTCTCTCTCTCTCCGACCGAGAGTGGTCCTCGACGTCGACGCCGCGGCGGGGAGACTGTTGACTGCTCGCTTGTGGAGACAGCGATGGACGCACCAATCGTCAGATCGGACCTGCGCTTCGTTGGCGACCACATTCACATCGTCGCGTGATGAAAGGACGACGTTGAGGCAGGAGAAGACATACGCGTCGAGGCGCCCTGCACATGTTGTGAAGCATACCCGTGTTGGTCCTTTATATTGCCTTGTGTCACCGTTACCTGCCTTCGCGTGCTTCCGCCAATATGGCGTTTAGTCAAAAGGAGTGCGCAGGCGATCGAAGTCCTTCCGGCAGCCAGCGATTGACGTCGACCGATAGAGAAAGGTCACCACCCCCAAGCAAAGTGACCGGTTGCTTGCTTCGTCGCCACACGCTTCCTCGTTGCAGTTGTGGGTCGACTGTGCCTTTTTCCTGCCTCCACGACGACCTACCACCCGAAGCCACCCTTCCGCACTTAAAAAAGATCTTGCCCGCCCTTCCCACCCCAATTTGCAAGCCCCCCCCCCCCCCCCCCCCCTCCCTGCCGATCGGTCCATCCAGCACCCCTGACTGGTCGAGTCCTCTCTCTCTCTCTCTCTCTCTCTCTCTCCTGTCTCTTATACACATCTAGATGTGTATAAGAGACAGCTCTCTCTCTCTCTCTCTCTCTCTCTCTCTCCTAAAAAAAAAAACATACACATCTATGTATGTATTATACACAATAAATTAAATGTATATACGTATGTAGACGAGTGCGGCAGTACAACACAACAAGCGACGACCGCATCGTTTGCGGATGCACGGACATGACGACCGACGTAGGAGCAGAGGCGACATCAGGACCTGTCCCTGATGACTTTGGCGATCTCCAGCAATGCAGTGCACATCAACCTGTTAGCCTCGTCGGATGCCTCGTAGTGCCGCCGCTGGGCATCAACCTCAGGCTCGAGAATGTCGCACTGCCACTCCAGAATGGAACACTGTCGCTTGCGCGCCCCCTCGACGGTGTCAGCCATCAATGTGCCGTGCTTGTCCATGACTTCAGCAATGGCCTCGAATGTCTGCTGGCGCATGTTCTTCCTCTTGCAGTTCCCTCCCGTGCTGCCTGCACTGAAGCTGGACTCCTGCGCCGACCCTCCGTCGTCGTCGTTCCCATCACCCCCATCACCCTCGACGGCGGATTCTCCAGCAACGGATGGGGAACGTGGCATCTGCAGTCCTCCACGGGTGCTTGTGTCAGCGACGTTGTCCGGGTAGATGGTCTTACTACCCCTCGACATGGCGTCTATCTCATCGTACACGCTCCTCCATTCTGAAGTTGAAGCCTTCTTTCGTTCTCAATGCAGGTATCAGGTTGAAGAAGTTCTTCCCCCCAGAGGCGTTCTGATACCGTTGCACTTTCTTGTATTGTTGGAAGAGGTTGTCCCACTTCTTGCCGATGTCGTCAGTCGTCCTGACCACCCCCACCTCCAGCAAACGCTTTTGAAGGTCCTGCAACTTCCATTCCTTGTTGCGCATTCGTCCGTAGTTGTGCGGCATGCCCTCGAAATGAGCTTGCTGATCCCTCTTCGCCCGGGCAAGCTTCAACATCTCCTCAACACTCCGCAACGGATGTTTCCCAACCTTCTTGCCTGGCGGACCCTTCGAGCGGCGACCACCACGGGAAACAACCTTCTCTTGACACACGCCTCCACCTCTTCCTCTGCCACGCACAGGAAGGGGTCGAATCTCCATGTCGTCCGCGTCTTCCACTTCGTCTTCGCAAATCACATCTTTAGATTCGTAATCGCTCGCCCGTTGGGAGTCTTCTGCATTTGGTTCTCCACTTGCCACACGCATCCTGGACACCCCATTCGTTATGTTCTCCGCGGCCATGTGACGCATCTATCGCCGACATGACTCCCACGCCTGGCCGCCAACTTCGTCTGATCTGGCAACGCTTGTGTTCACCGCCGGTGCGCCCATCCTTTGGCGCGGTGCACTCAAAGGTGATGCCGAAGGGGGGGGGCAACGACGTGCGAAGCATGTGACCGGATGATCCCGCACCCCAAGAAAACGGAGGCAGCGGACGACACCCATCAGGGCTCGCACCTTGCAGAGAGGACCTTCCACCATGCACACTCGATCCGCCGACGGTCACACCAGGCACTGGGTTGAACGTGCAAGTGTGTGTAGCTGCTGAACCACTCTCGCTCCACAAACCAAAATCCAAGTCCACAATCTCTGTATCGCCTCCACCGACATCGTCCTCTAGCAGAGCAGAGAACGAATGACGACTTGTCACGACCTCCCGTTGTCTACAATGGCTCCCCATCCAGTCCTGCGTCGATCCGCTCCCCAGAGGCAGAGTGCGGGACAGATCATCCACCCATTGTTGTTCGGGATCCGGCGGGAAAGGCTGGTCGTGAGGCGGGAGATGACTGTACAATGTCGGGTCATACGAGCCTGCAAGACACGCCCTGGCCATCGCTCCCGAAGTGGAGTACTCGACGGCGTGCGCCGGTTGTGTGTTGGATGCTTCACGCCTGTCCATCGTCGTCTTCCTCAAAGTTCGTCGTTTTTGTCCACCACGAGGACCCCGCACAACGACGCACACGTGGAACAACACGACAACGAGCAGGAGAAGAGTGGCCAGCAGCGGTAGCGGGAACCGTCGGAGGATGTCTGCCATGAATCGCAGCGTATGACACGTGTACCAAACGAAGATTGCGTCCCCGCGGGCGACAATAGCCGACAAAACAAGCTATGCGGATGACTGCAATCGGCTGGCAGGGCTTCAACGTCGCTTGTAAAAAATTCAAAAAAATCGACCATTGGATGTGGAGGCCGTCGACGTGCGCACGCAAAACCCCCCTTCACGGAGCGCCTCGCAGATGAAGATCCCCCCCCACACATTTCCGCACCAACGGTAACGGTCTTAAGGCCGTTGGTGGCCCGTCGGGTACTGGAGGATGGCAATGTCCGCCCAATGGACCGCAGACGACCTGTGCACCAACATCGACTCCGAATTCTCTTGTGGTCACGAGCTCCAGAACGCTCCGTGTATCGCGGATCCTTTATCCTAAGGGACCTCGCGGGGACCCCCTTAAATCCAAGGACGTTTTGGCTAGGGATTCCAAGGAACCCAAGGGAAATCTCTTGGGAGCCTTTTCACATTCGTTCAAGGTATTTGGCGATTTAGGACGCGGTGTAACGATGCCGATTTCTGATTTTGCGGCTTTCCAAGGAGGGTCTAACGAGGCCCTTAGTCCTTCATCCTTTCTGTCTTTTTCCACCCCGGATTCCTCTGCCGCGCACATCTTAGCCATATATCATGTCTCAAGGGACGGACTTGATTCGGGAACCACAGGTCCGGACACCGTTCTACCATAGAACAGAGTAGAACTTGGGTAGAACAGACCATTCTACCCTTTTTTTTTCGTCTTAAAAAGCCCAGGTTGTTGGAGTGGCCACGTTCCAGACACACGCTGGTGCTGCATAGACCAGCCATTGGTTGTCCTGACAATTGTTCCATTGTGAGATCGCCTCCTAACCCATCCTCTCACCAATTCTTGCAGCGCACCCCCTATTCCTACTATCCTACCTCAGTGATAATCACCACAGACTATCACCTCATTATCTCGCACCAGGTCTACGTATGCTCAACAGGACAAGCCTGGACTGGCCCAGCTTACCCAAGGCTTAGGAGGATCAGGACAAGCGTGGACTGGCCCGGCTTACTTAAGGCTTAGGCGGATCAGGACAAGCCCGGAGTCGCTATTAACGTCTTCCCAGCCCTAGTTGAAGCACAGACGAGCGAGCCTTGTCACACGGGTACTTTGGATGCCAGGCTCAAGCAGTATCCAATCGGCCTCGCAATCACTACCCAGACTCCTACTGAGGGACCAGAGTTATATGTCGTCCTGCATACGGAGTCCACTCCGTCTCACAGGCCGAATGGGCAGTTCGGATGGACCTCCCCAATGCGGACGGGCTGTCCGAACAGCCGTCCAAGGGGTTTGGGGGCATTAAAAAGGGGTCCCTCGAGATTTCAACGACGGAGGGTGCGGGTGTCTGGGGGTACCCCACAGGCCAAAAAAGAAAAAAAAAAAGGATTTTCTTTTTGGATAGGCCCGTCTGAAGGTACCCCACAGGCCAAAAAAGAAAAAAAAAGGATTCTTTTTTGGGTAGGGCTGGGGGATATTAGGGAGGGGGGGGGGGGGGGGGCGCTTGGGACCGTGGAGTGGCCTGCTGGTGTCGGGCAGGTGAAAACCGAAAAACAAAAGAAATTTCCTAAAGTCATTGGGGGAAACTCTTTGACCTGCAGACGCCCTCTGGCCCCTAACCCGCCCCCCCCCACACACACTGGTGAGGCTTGTAGTTGCTCCTAAGGCCCTGGCCTTCTCCCCCAGCCCCCGTCCAAGCTTTTTTTTAAATTTCGTGTAAGTTTTCATCCTACAAAAACCATATTTAAAAAAATTAAAACAAATGGGGGGTTCCCTATGACGTGCACAACGCCCCTGGCCACTCAAAACACCCTTTTGCTCCCCAGTTAGAAGGCCTTTTATCTGAAGGCCCTGCGGCCCTTCCCCGGACCCCATCCGAGCACCTTTTATTTTTCTCTCCTTTTTTCCCTCAAAAAAAAAAAAAAGAAAGAAAATACAAGGTGTACTCCGCGCCCCTCGGCGATCCTCCAACCGGCTTTCCCACGGTCCATCCGAACCAGCCGTGTGGCCGTCTGACCAGCCGGTCTGACGGGCCGTCCAATAACCCCCCATACGGCGGATGGGGTTCATGTTCTACAACACACATAGATCAGCACTGTGAGGTCATCCTCAAAAAGTGAGCGCAGCAGCCTCCAGTGATCCTGCAGCTCAGATAAAACAAGGACGGATTTCCAGGTGTGATCTGATATGTACTTGCGAAGTTTCCATGACTAAGTCAGGGGGGCTATAGCATCTCCTTGCCTTGCCCATCCCTACCCTGGTACTGGAAGGGACCAGTTACCATGATATTAGCTGTGAGAACTTGTGGTAGTCCCATTAGAGACTGCCACCCATTTTCATAAGAGCTTCCCAGAGTTCATCTGGAGATTCTGAACTGAGTATAGGTTGAGGAAGTCCCAGTCTACATGATTATCTGCTTTCTCAAAGTCAATGATGATAACGGCCTGCAGTTTTGTCTCCCTAGCATGTCTCATAGCCTCATTGACTAGGAGATCATTATTGTTTATGTTGTGCTCAGGCATAAAACCTGACTTCTCTGGGTGTATTAAGAGCTTGATCAGAGGCACTACTCAGTTTGCAAGTTTGCTTGCTGCAATCTTATAGGGACTGGGAAGAGTGTAATGGGATGATAATTCCTTATATATGTTTTGCTTCTCTTCTTCTATTACATAAGGGAGACGAGGCCCAGGCCTCCCATTGCACCTTCATCCATGCGGTTAGATACAAAAAGGTCTCAGAAGCTTAACTAGGACTCCTTGGGGAAGGAATCTAGATCCGTGTCTTGTCCTTCACCATGTCAAGCTGTGCCTCATGCAATTTGGCGTCTGAAAGCGATTTTTCCAATGGCTACCTTTTGTGAGGCCCTTGGCCTCGGCGAGCCCTATTGGGCCCTGTTTCCAGCATGCATGGCCGCCCTAAGTGAAGGCGGGCCTGCCAAATGATGAGAGGCAGTTGCGCAGCGTCAGTTGGTTGAGTGAGCCCAGGCCCTGCCTGCCTTTTTCCAAATGTATCCGAGGCAGGCCCTGGGCCAGACACGGGGCATGAACTGAACACAGGCCGCTTGGCAGTTGGACACGGGTAGCAACCCCAGGCCCTGTGGAAGATTCCGTGGGACAGGGGCTCAGCCACTTGGGGCCTACCAGAAGCTTCCGGGGAGAACCTAGGCCAGCCAGGCAGCCCAGAACTGGCAGCCACTTTCCATAAAGGAAAGCGTGGGTGCTGGCTGGACATTCTGGCACTCTCCACTTATGCGCAAGCGCTGCTGTGCCAGCTGCTGGAGTGAGTGCCTACGTGCTCACGGGCGAGCAGGGTGGACGCAGGCAGCCATAGCCGGGCTGGCCTGCGCATTGCTGGATGGGGCGCATGGTGGTCTTCAGGTGCATGTGGCATCTGTGTGGAGGATTGAGGTTGTGAGTGAAGCGGGGATATACCTGGTGCGTGATGCGAACGGCTTTGGCCAAGATCTGCTCGTACTTCGGAAAGCTGTTGATGTCACGGGCGGCATTGTAAATAGGCTAGATAGGATCTGTCATTCGCAGTCTGGGCGCTGAGCGCCAGATAGGGGGACAACATCGTTTCATTGGTGATGATGAAGAGACTATTCCAACATTGTCATTTGTGAGCTCTGCTGTGCTCCTATTTGGTGTAATTCGAGTTGCAATTCTGCTTTTGGTTCGAGGTCAAGACTATCTGGTTTCATATGTATGATGCTGCTTGGCTTCTGAGTTTTGCTATCGCTCATTTTCCTTGCACTTTCTTTTCCCATAAGTCCTGTTGTGAGCGCCTTGAGTTGTGTATGTGTAGCATGGTCCAGCTCAGAATAAGGCAGTCGACATTCACGCTAGTTTGTAGGCAAACCCACTGGTTAAGTACCGCTTTCTCTGATGGAGACTCTAATCATTATTAGTATGTGCAACATGCATCCCTGGACTGCGAATTCTGGGCCTTTCGTTTGCCAATGTATATTGTATATGCTCACAAGGTCTTGTCACCAATAGGGTGTTTCTGCGGTGAAGAGGTGGTGAGAGTATTGGGACGCATAACCTACTCCAGCATATGAACCCATTGCACTGTGGTTAGTCTACACCTTGGTTTTGCCTTAGCAAAGAAGTGTTGATCCATTCTCTGTTCCTAATCACAGTGTTTATGAAGTACTCAATTCTAGAAATGTAGGTCTTTTGGTGCATTCATTCGAGGATTATCGAAGAGGTTCGCAGATGAGTTCTGTTCCACT